TGTCAGGGACAGCTGATGTCACACAGCCAGATTGTCACCATGTCACTCTGTCAGGGAGAGCTGATGTCACCTTGCAGCATTGTCACCCTCCTGTCCTCGTGTCACCCCCCTCAGCTGATGTCACCTTGCAGCGTTGTCACCCTCCTGTCCCCATGTCACCCTCCTCAGTTGATTAGCATTGTCACCCTCCTGTCCCCAAATTGGTTTAATCTCATTCTCCCTCAGCTAATCAGCGTTGTCACTGTTATCACTGTGACCCTCCTGTCCCCAAATTGGTTTAATCTCACCCCTCAGCTGCTGCACTTCATGAACACCCTCCCGTTCGAGGTGAACGGCCAGACCTTCAGGTTTGACCAGTCCCATGGCACCAACGCTGGCTACAAACTCATCTTCTGGTCCTGGAGCAACGGCWCCCTGAGCCACCTGCCCGTGGGCGACTATGAGCAGTCCCTGTACATCCACAAGGCGCAGATCCGCTTCCACACCGCCGACCAGAAGGTAAAACCGCTCAGCCTGTTGGTTCTGTTTTTTTGGGAATGGAATTCTCCTGGAGGCGCCTGGCTGGTGCTGATTCCCCTCTCCAGGAGCCGCCGTCCGAGTGTTTCAGGCGCTGCCAACCAGGGCAATTCCGGAGGATCAAAGGGTTCAACCTGTGCTGCTACGACTGTACCGACTGCCCCGAGAACACCTTCTGGAGCAGCACGGGTGAGGTTGGGYCACTCAGAGCCTTTTGGTGGGTTATTCGGTGTGTGAGGGAGGGGATGAGGGGCTGGGGTGATTCTGGAGCACCCCCGGGTGTTCCCCTCGCTGTTCTCTGCTCGTCTCACCCTGCGCWGTTTCACCGGGGTGTGGTGAGATCAGAGGGGAAGAGAGGGGGAAATGTTGGGGTTCAGCTTGGGCTGGAGAGAGGGGTGCGATGGAATTGGGGTGTGGGAGAGAGGGATGGGATGACTGAGTGGGTGGTGGCAGGCCCCAGGTCCCCAGGACTGGCTCTCAGGGCGGGTGACAGTCCCCAGGTGCCCAGGACGGTCCCTCAGTGGGAGTGACAGTCCCCAGGGTGGGCACTCAGAGGGGGTTACAGTCCCTCAGTGGGTGTGACAGTCCCCAGGTCCCCAGGGCGGGTGTCCCAGCGGGTGTGACAGTCCCCAGCTCCCCAGCGTGGGCTCTCAGGCTGGGTGACAGTCCCCAAGACAGTCCCTCAGCAGGTGTGACAGTCCCCAGGTCCCCAGGACGGTCTCTCAGCGGGTGTGACAGTCCCCAGGTGCCCAAGGTGGGCTCTCAGGCTGGGTGACTGTCCCCACGTCCTCAGGACGGTCCCTCACCAGATGTGACAGTCCCTGAGCGGGTGTGACAGTCCCCAGCTCCCCAGGGCAGGCTCTCACCAGGTGTCACAGTCCCCAGCTCCCCAAGACAGTCCCTCAGCAGGTGTGACAGTCCCCAGCTCCCCTGGGCGGGTGTCACAGCGGGTGTGACAGTCCCTCATTGGGGTGTGACAGTCCCCAGCTCCCCAGGGCGGGTGTCACAGCGGGTGTGACAGTCCCTGAGCAGGTGTGACAGTCCCTGAGCGGGTGCCACAGTCCCCAGCTCCCCACACTCGTCTCACCTCTCTCTCCCCACAGACAGCACCAGCTGCTCTCCRTGCCCTCAGCACCAATGGTCCCCATCTCGCAGCACGCACTGCCAGGACCGCTCCGAGCGCTTCCTCTCATGGCACGAGCCGCTGGCCGTGGCCCCTCTGGCCGTGGCGGCGCTGACCGCTGCCCTGAGCTCCGGCACGGCCCTGCTGTTCATCCGGCACCGTCACACACCGCTGGCGCGTTCCTCGGGCGGCGGCCGTGGGCTCATGGCGCTGCTGGCGCTGCTGCTGCTCACCCTCAGCTGCGGGCTCTACGTGGGCCGGCCGGAGCGCGGCCGCTGCGCCGCCCAACAGCTCAGCTTCGCGCTGGGGCTGGCCGCCTGCCTGTCCGCCCTGCTGCCCACGGCGCTGGCCATCGCTCTGAGGGCTGAGCTGCCCGGCCATGCCGCCCGGTTCCTGCCGTGGGTGACGGGCCACCGGGCCTGGCTGATGGTGGCCATGTCCTTGGTGGTGCAGGCCGTGCTGTGCGGGTGTCACCTCGGTCTTGGCGCTGATGAACCGCTGGCTGATTACACCTCCCTGCCTGGGCAGGTGCTGCTGGTTTGTGACACAAAATCCTGGCCGGCTTTCGCTCTCCTTCACGGCCACAACGGCTGCGTGGCCTTTGTTTGTTTTCTGTGCACTTTCATGGTGCCCGGCGCCGCCGGCCGCCACAGCCTGGCCCGGGGCATCGCCTTCGCCACGCTCGGCTATTTYATCGTCTGGATTTTCTTCGTGGTGATTTTCGCCACGCTCAGGACGGTGCTGAGGGCCGTGGCGCAGATGTGCACGGTGCTGGCCACGGYGTTGGCCATCCTGGGCAGTTTTTTCTTGCCCAAGGCTTACATCATGGTGTGTCGGCCCGAGCTGAACACCGATGAGTATTGCAGGGATCCCGGCGAGGAGGAGCCGGGGGATTCCGTGAGGGGACAATAAAGCACGTC